GCCCTTGACTGGAATCGAACCTGGGACCCTTGAGTTCGCAGGCCAACACTCTATCCACTGAGCCAAACTGGTTAGGGCTCTGAGTACATTTTTATTCACTCAAGTTTTCCTGCTAGTCTTTTCCAGGTCCATGGCTTGCCTGGTCTTCACACTCCATGATATTTCATCTTTCTATGTTCTCCATCTTTGTAAGTTGGGTAGTCACTGCTTTAACCTATTTTCACATGGGGCTACTTTCTCCAAAGTGAATGTGATGGTTCTCAACTGTGTTCAGTCACTGGACTTTAACCCTCTAAAACAGAGGGCAGAAAACTAAGGCACACAGCAAGTCCTCCTCACCACTCTTTAGCAAATAAATTTTTATTGGACCAAACCATGCCCATCTGTTTAGCTATAACCCATGGATACTTTTGTATTGTAACAGCATAGCTGAGTGGTTGAAATGGAGACCATCAGAAACACAAATCCTAAAACAATACTCTCTGGCCTTTACAGAAAAAGCTTGCCAACCACTGGCAAAAGGGAAGGCATAATCATAAGTGCAAAAATATGCTGCTTTGTCTACTTGGACTTGTGGCTAACAGCAGTTTCTAGACCTCCGCTCTTTTCCAATAATCTACGACAGCGGTTCTCAAACTCAGCTGTACAGAATCACCTGGGGAGCTTAACAAACAAAACCAAACCCTGGTGAATAGGATACTCTCCAAACTAGTTGAATCAGAGACTTAGAAAATGGAATCCAACCTTTAATATTTTAAAATTATTTTTAAAGTTCCATTATTTGCTAAGTTGAAAACCACTCAGCTATTAGTAATACTGCCTTATCTGGAGTGCCTGATTGAGTCCCTTATATAAAAAGTGATATTCAATAGACCTGATAGTATCTAATCTCAGGAATTTCCTGGCTACTATGCCACAGCATTTTTACCCATCTTTGAAAGGCTCGTGGTTAAATTTATAATTTTTACTTAGTGTGTTCTCATGGCGATTTTAGTTTCTGTTGGGGTTCCACAAGACTCTTGTATTATTTAAATGTCCCTAGGAAGGAAACCTGACTTCCTTGCCCTTGCCCTGAGATCTTTACCAGTCCCTGGACAAATTTCTGCCTTAATTTCTCAGTTGATTTCTACCGTACCCATGTGTTATAAATCCACACTATACATGGCATAGGTTCCAGTGACTGCATTGGCAAGCAAGTCTTTTCAGGCTCCAAGAATGCTCAGTTACAAATCCATGTTTTAGCAGAACATCTATCTTTTCTCATGTAGACATTAAAATCCTATTTCTAAGTCACGAGGGACTATAGCTAGGATGGATACCCATGTGTTAGTGGCATCAACCGGAATGCTAATCACATTTTTTAAATAAAATCTTGGGACTTTTCTTTTCTTAGAATGGCTATATGTTTTAAAAGTTGTTATATTTTTGTGTTTGCAATGGGAATAGAAAAAGGAGTCCCTGCATCAGCTCAGTCCTCCTCTCTCTCACCATATGCAGATAACTCCAGGGACAACTTCCAATCTCGTGAATATTATGAATCGATTGCTTGCCACATTCAGATGACATATTAAGCTCAATCTGTCCAAAATGATGCTCATCCCTATTTCCCCTGCATTTTCCATTTTTAAAAAAACACCAGAGTCATTTCCAAAGTCTGTCCTGCTAAATCACTCAAAGGTCACCTTTGAGAACATATTCGAAGTTTAGCTAATTCTTCTCCTGCAGCCTCTACAGCATGTGGCCTCTGCCAATGACAGCCCAAGTATACACAACAGCCCCTGTGTCCCCTCTCCAGGACAGCCATAGACGTCTCCTACATGCTCTCCTTGCCTCTAGTCTCTTACCGCTCATTTTCCCTCCAGGTTTTATTGCCAAAATGAGATTCTTAGAGAATAGATCTCACTACATATTTTTCCACTTTGAAAATCTTTCACGGGCCTGCCATTGTCTACCAAATAAGCTTACTATTCAAGTTCAGCAATTTGTGAAAACTCTATGTAACTTTCTTTTTTTTTAAAAAAAAGTATATTTTTATTGATTTCAGAGAAGAAGGGAGAGTGAAAGAGAGATAGAAACATCAATGATGAGAGAGAATCATTGATTGGCTGCCTCCTGCATGCCCCACACTGGGGATTGAGCCTGCAACCCGGGCATGTGCCCTGACTGGGAGTTGAACTGTGACCTCCTGATTCATAGGCTGATGCTCAACTACTGTGCCACAACAGCTGGGCTTTAGTGTAACTTTCTTCCTCTCTTCCATTCACAGCCTCCAGAACTCCTATTCCAGTAAACGTAAACTTCTTCCTGTTACCCAAACATTTCTTGAGATTTCTCTTCACTATTCCTTTGCTCTTTGTAGATTTCCTACCCTGATTA